TCATGGATCCTTGTGCCTGAGAAAATGAGAGTGCTATCCAAGCCTTGTGCTTATAATAGGAAGAGATAGAGTTGGGAAGGGATTTCTTGCATCCTTCTTGTATTAATCTCATGAGAACCTAGTTTTGAAACCAAGATACCACCTTTATACTGCCAACTTGTGGATGAAGAACCCTAGCAGTCAACAAATACCCTGGAAGAAGGAAACGTATCCCGGAAAGTTAAGGGAAACTCTTCCATATCTGCACTTGCAAGACAAAAACAAAATGAAACAAAACAACCTGCTCCTTTAAAAAATAGAAATAATATAGACAGTTTGTAAAAATGCAAAAAGTCTTAAGGAAATAAATAAGATAAATATGACCCATATGTCAATGATCAGTGCTATCTACATTTGACATTTTTATGCCATAAAAAATGGAATAACCTGCATTATCATAAGCCCACAAGAAAGAGGTTGCTCAGTTCGCATAGGAAGAGGAGAGGTGAGAGAGTAAATATTTTGTCAAAATCATCCAATGAGGGGGAGACAAAGCGTGATGTCCCCAGCTCTGGGACATTGCTGTGTCAGCCAGAGGGACACAGAGCCTTTCCTTGACCAGCGCTGACAGTTGTTTATTCTCTGCCATCTTCAGCAGAACTCAGCTGACAGGGCAAATGAGGAGATGGTTTGTGTCAGAACAGGTGCGTGATCAAACTGTGGGCCTCCCTCCCCGTAAACTCCTGCAGGCACAGGGAGAAAGGAGTGACCGGGAGGCTTCCCAGGCCTGTTAGCCTGATGGTGTTAAAGAGAACTGCCCGGCAATCAGGGAAAACAGACTGCTAGCCTTTGCTCCAAAATGTACTTGAGTGAAAACTTCTTTCTTGTCCTTGGTCCCCTTCAGAAAGAAGTTTTTTGGAAGCTAAGGTGGGTACAGCTGACATTTGGGAAACTAAAGCCCACCTCTGGGTAAAATAGTTATTGGTGCTGTGTGTACTGAAGATGCCAGCACATAGATACTGCCAGTAATCCTTGCATTCGTGTTTTTCCTCTTCCTAAAACAAGCAACAGTGTTGTCTAAATGTACCAGAAGAGCCATAAGTTCACATTTTAAGGTAGGAACCCAGACACACTCCATTAACTAGCATCCAAACAATTGCTCTTTGGCTGAAGCTCATCTTCCTTAGCAGAGGCATTACCACAGCAACCAGCATCTTTTCATAGACCTCAAGACCTTCTACAAAATATTGGCAATAAAAATCCTCTCCAGGTTCCAGTCGTCGTGTTCTTGCTCCAGAATAACCTACTGTTTGCTCCAGCTAATTTGCATGGGTGTGTCAGCCTTGAGCTACTACTGGACCCCAAGATCACTTGCTTATGGTTTAGATCTAAAATGGCCTCCCACACCTGAAGTGTTTAGAGGCGATTGGATTATGGGAGCATTGTAGCTGACTGGCTGTTAGGAGTTGGGGGTCTCTCCTTAGAAAAGGCAAGTCACTGGGGGCATGGCCTGGGAGGGTGTCTTACTTCCTGCATCCTCCTCTCATTATCTGCTTCCTGTCCATCCTGATGTTCACAGCTTTCCCCTGCCCGACACTTCTACTGTGCTGCTTCTGCCTGCAGCTGGCTGACTATGCAAGGACAGAAACTTCTAAAATGTGAGCTAAAATAAGCCTCTCCCCCTTTAAGTTGCAGATGTTGGGCATTGTGTCTCAGAGGAGGAAAGTGACTAAAATACTGGAAAATCACAAAGCTATCAATATTAGATAATTTAATAGAATATAACCTTTATTGTGTTAGCACTTATTATATGGCAGCAGTTTGTTTGCTTGTCCTTCCTCTTGCCTGAATTCCAATTCTGCCCCGACAGTTACAGCACTAGCCCTGTAACTATGGGTAAGCTGTTCAACCACACCATGCCTCAGTTTCCACAGCCACAAAAGGAGATAATGGCATCCACTTCACAGAACGATGGTGAAGGTTAAATTTTATATTTGATTTTCTCTCCCCAGGGCCCAGTACCACACCTGGTTCATGGTTACAAAATAATTATTTGTTAATTATTTTACTTAGTGTAATTTTCAATAAATTTCCCTTGGGAGACAGAGCCTAAAGATTTCTTTATCATGGTTTTAAGAGGAGCAGTTTCCTCAAGAGTGCTATTCTGTTCATCAAACCAAGCTGAAGATAGTGTCTATAAATCTGTAAAGAGAAGTTGAAACCAAAAAACTGTTGTTGAATCTTTGATGACAACACCTGAGGAATGTTAGGATGTTTCCGGTTTCACATTTGGATGTGTTCTTGGAATTTCCCTCTGTGTCCCCTCCGAGATGGCTACAAGTGGATTTGAATGAATCTCTCCCTGGAGTCATAGACCAGGGGGTATTAAATGCTCCTTATTTTCTCCCTCAAGTATCCTGAGCATTAGAGTCCCATACCCTTTACGGGACGTATTAGTCCACACTGAGGACATTGACGCTGTCAGGTCTGTCATTTAATTGGTAGAGGCTCACTTTACATCCCAAGTGGTTACAGCCCCTTGGGGGGGGGGGCGGTGTGTGTGCCTCTGTCTCCTGCTCTCACAGGGCCCATCACAGTGTCATGCATAGGCACAGTGAGCTGCCTGCTGATTGATAGGTCTAAAATAATGTTTGTCCCACAATTGTGAAAATGACATTTCTGAAAGGAAAGGTGTTGAACAGCCTTCTCTAGAGATCTTTATAAATCGCATAGGGTTCTCACCTGATTGGGGTGAGGAAAATGAGGTCTTCAGGGACAATGGAATAGCCTCTGGTTGCAAAATTGGAATTATTTGAACTTTAGTTTGAATGCACATTTGAAAATAATGTGTTAAAAGTATGACAGGATATTGTATGACAGGATATTCTATTCAGGGGGGGAAGGAGGGGCAAGCCAAAGATGCAGGTAACTGGAAAATGCTTTCCAGTTCTGCAAGTAGAAGAGAATGGCAGAGGGCAATGCTACAAGGGCCCAAAACCCAGGGAAGATGGGCTGCACATTTTGCTGGGCCTTGTGAATCCAATGGACCAGGCAGAAGAGAGCAAGGGTATTAGTTTTCTATCACTGTCACGACAATAGCAAAAACGTAGGGACTGAAGATGACGTGCATATCTTATTGTCTTAGTACATTTTGTGTTGAATACCTGAGACTGGGTAGTCAATAAAGAACAGAAATCTGTTCTCTCACAGCTCTGGAGGCTGGGAAGTATAAGGTCAAGGTGCTGGCATAAGGAATGGGCCTTCCTGTACCCTTAACATGGTGGAAGGTGGAAGAGAGCCTTCCACTCCTGGAATCTCTTCCTCTAGCGGTGTTATTCCATTTGTGAGTGGAGCCTCATGACCTAAACATCTTCCCAAGGCCCCACTGCCCACATTGCTGCACTGAGGATTAAGTTGACAACACATGAATTTTGGGACCATTGCAATTTCAGACCACTGCACTTACCTTACAGTTCTCTAGCTCAGAAGTCCAGTGAATTTCATGAGCTATAATCAGCTTCTCCATTTGTCTATTTCCCCAGTGCCTGAGATTTTCAAAGCTTCAACTTTGCACCCAAACCCTTCTTCTTTTGTCCTCCTTCCCTCAGTAAATATCAATTCTATTCTGGCCATTGCTCAGGTCCAACATTTTGGAGTCAGCCTCAGCTCCTCTCTCTTACAAGCCCCATTCAGCGAATCTATTGGTTCTACCCTCAAAATTACATCCGTAATCTGATTATTTCCTACCATCTCTCACCCAGACTGCTCTGTAGTATTTATAACTGGCTTTCCCCCACTTCCTCTCATGTCCCACCTATATCTGTCCTCAGCATAGGTGCTGAAACACACAGAGATCTGCTGCTCCTCCGCCCTCCACAGTCAGTTGTCCCATCTCATTGAGAGTGAAAGCCAAAGACATTATGATGGTCAGAGGGGAAGGCCCTACCTCGGTATCCCTGAGGTGCTGCTTGGTCACCACTCATCAGCTTTCTGCCGGCCATAGCTAGGGATCATTCTGAAGGCAAATTCCACGTCAGATAGAGACATCTGCCTCTTCTGGGTTCTTTGGCCCATTTGGCCACCTTTCATCCCTGCTGTGATAGTCACAGGCCTGAACTGATGGCTGTTTTTGGCCTCCCTCAGAAAGTTGATAGAAATAGAGTTCTCTCTAGGGGGTCCAGGCCCAGGTTTGTTTCTGCTGTTCTTGCATCCAGTCAGACCAATAACTGCAGAGGCAGCTGCAAACCAGATGTTAGGGTGTGAGGAGAGGGCAGATGTTCTGAGAAGAAAGAATGAGGTGGGCTGGTTCCTGTGGTTTGTTAGCCCCAGCAGTCTTCCGACACCCTCTGCTGAGTCACGATGTCACCATGGCCTATCTTCCTCCTCTCTGATCTCCATTGGCCCCTTTGTCCATTCCCCCTTGGCTGCAGCCTTACTATCTAGTCCACACCACACCCCTGAGGAGACTCCGAGATGCCCCAGCTCCTGCCCATGGTCTGCAGGACTCAGTTACATTCCTGGGGATTTTGTGTAGTAGCTGGGTGTCTCAGAACAAGTGCTCCTTGTTGAATTCAGCAGCTCGTAGGAAGGTGACAGACAAAGCCTTTTCTCAAAGGACAGCAGGATAGGGACAGTGTTACCATGCTTCTTCTTGCATTGTTCTTGGTACTTAGATGGCACAATGCATTAAAAACAAGCAAAACAAAACTAGACTGACAGCTTTTTTAAAAATTTATTTTTTGGTACCAGGGATTGAACTCGGGACCTTTCGCTTGCAAGGCAGGCGGCGGAACCACTGAGCTAAATCCCCGGCCCATGACACCTTTAAAAAAGTTATGAATATATCAGTTGTTAAATCCATCACATACAAATAAGCCCTAGAATATACACATGTTATTATTGCTGGAATTTAGTATCAGCATAGTCAAGAAAACGGAATGGGGCTGAATTGGCCAAGGGGCATTTTAGGACAGCTGAGGTGGCAGTGGGTTGATGTGTTGTGTCCTGCTTTTGTCTGACAGGTCATTGCTTGTGAGCAGCAGTATGACTCTTCCTATGATGCTCGCTGTGACGTCTGGTCCTTGGGGATCACAGCTATTGAACTGGGGGATGGAGACCCTCCCCTCTTTGACATGCATCCTGTGAAAACGCTCTTTAAGATTCCAAGGTAGGACACAAGATGGCGCCCTTGGCTCATTAGTGCTTTGGGAAAGCGTCCTTAGAGGAACAATAGTTTCTACGCAATTTCTCTCCAAACCTGAGAAAGCCTGACTGCAAAATACATTTCCGTTTGGAAAAAAAAAGTGTGTTGTGTTGAGGGGAGTTGGATATGGGGACGGATGTTCCTGAAAGATAACATACTCCAAGGAATAACGAAACCATGTAACAATCACATAATTTCAGCATTCCAGTTTTTCTGAGATGTTCATTTTTTTAGTGCTTTGCACAAGAAGAATACAAATGCAATTTAGGATTAAGTAATCTGTGTAAACACTGATGCTTTCTTTTTAATTATATACTTTTGCTGGTATTTGGGAAATGGGGGAATTTGGGAAATTGCTGTATTCACTCAGACCAGCACCGAAACATATCACAAAAATGTTACATCAGTCATTTGTCTTACTCTTCATTCCTCAATTTCCGATTCAATGGGAAATCATGATGAAAGAAGTCTGTTTGAAGGATATTTAAATGCAAGTATTTTTCCTATTCTGTGTATTCATTAGGGTTTTTTTTTTTGGTACCGGGGATCGAACTTGGGTCCTTGCGCTTGCAGGGCAGGCGGCGGAACCACTGAGCTAAATCCCTGGCTTCATTAGGGGTTTGTGCAAGAGGTTTGGTTTATTTTCCCGGGAATAGGGCTGATGTATGACCACCTCGAGGCTCTAGTTAGGGAAAATGAAGCTTTCTGGGCTCGTCAGTCCAGTCAGGGTGCTGATTGATGGATTATTTATATTTTCCAAATTTCTCTTTCAAAGGAAAGCTCTGGGCAGGCTGGGAGCATTTAACTGCTCTAACAGTACAAGAATTGACCTTTCCTTATCTACACAATCACACAGCTAGCACAGCCTTTAAAAATTTCTCTTGATTGCAATTTGCATTTCTGATTAGGCCTATTTATATGCAGATGAGGCTCTCAGGCGTTCATCATCATAATGTTATCGTTTTATACCTAATCCAGATGTGAACAACCCCCAGCCACTATTCCAAAAATGATTCCCACCCAAGTCTGGGTTAGTTTTTTTTGCCTCTTCCAAAATACAAAAACAGGTCAGGGTGATTTGAGGAGCAGACAAAGCTCCTGGCTTTTTAAATTAATAGTTTGATGAGCATTCAAAAAGCATGTAAGAATGCAGAAGCCAAAAGCAGCATTGTATCCAATAATATGCTGCGATATGAAAGAAAATGACAAATAGGGTTTGGAGTGATTTTGTGTGTGGCTTGATTTCCACGCAAAACAATAACCCACTGTTCAGGATTAAAATGTGGCTTTTGATTAGCAAGATACACATACAGTACTTTTAATAAGAGATCATGTACTTGGGTATATTTATTTTGTTTTTAGTATGCATTTGTGTATAGACCAACTGTTTAAAATTTTTATAAGATAATAAATGTGTGGCAGCTAAGAAGGACCATGCTTGAGTGTGTGTTTAAATAGTCCCTTCAATTCCAGGGACTCCACTTGCCTTGCTTGTGTGCCCAGCCAAGCAAGCCTCGAATCTCTAATTGTCTCTGTTCTCTCACTGGGCTTACCTCTTCCACCTTAGGAGAAACCTCCAGATCTGGACAAAAATAACTAAGCCCCCACTGCCTGCATCAGGGCAAGTGAGCCAGGAACAAGGCAATTGCAGTAAAAAGATCCTTAGAGCAACTTCAGCTGAGGCTGCTTCCCTCTTCTTGTGAAGCTCTGGTCCTGTTACCGCTTGGCTGTCCCAGTGAGAGTGATGATCTGATGGAACGGGGTGGTGGTGGGGGTAGTGTGTGTGTGTGTGTGTGTGTATATGTGTGTGTGGTGGGTGTCAACAGTAATGGGCCAGCAGGTTCTCAGTGTGATTGTGTGTGCTCAACATGTGCCACTGTCACAAACCTACTGGGGTGGTCTGATCCTCATGGACAGGAAGGAGAAAGGTTTATTTCTCTCGTATCTGCATGTCTTATAAAACTTTTTTTCTCCCCTGAAACCAGGGGAAGATTTGTTGGGTTTCTGTTCACCAAGTTATTTACTTGAAAATCATCGTGCATGTGTACACAGGCGTGTGTGATTAGGCATGTATGTGTATGTGTATGTATGTGTATACTATTTTAATTTTGAGCACTAAAAACATATCCTTTTCTCAGAGCAGCTCTTGATGGAGGATGGATACACTAAGCACTTACACATTTTTAAAAGCTACTCGAATTATTTACTTCTGTGTTTCATGGGGATCTCTCTCTGTCTCTTCCTATCCCTCTCCCTCTCTTTTCCTAACAGAGAAAAGTAGAGGACAGAGCCAAAAATCTTTTAATCATTTGGCTTCAGAATTTTGTCTTTTCTATTTGAACGTATTTTCAGTGTTTTAGAATTCTTTTCAATTAAACATTGAAGTCCCTTGCAGGGTACTCTAGGAGCCAGAATACTGTGGCTTCCTCCTCTGGATCTACTCACTGACTGCTCTCCTGGAACCTTTTCTTACTGGAAATGCATTGACTACCAAGCATGGGAAGAAAAGAAAATCTTGACAGCGTCGGAAGTGGCTTTCACAAGTTATGGAGGATTTGAGAGTTAATGAAGTCTGGGTCACCTTTGAGGTGAGGGTTTCAGATGTCTACAAAAGTGGCAATGACACAGGTTCCCTGGACACTGCGAGACGATAAGAAGCAGCACCTGCCTGGCTGTGGCTGATATGTCCGCACGCAGCCTCCTTGCTCTTCCCGCTTCTCCCCCTGCCTGCCTGCTCCTCTCTCTTGACCTTCACATTAGAAGATGACACACAGAGTAATTGTGACCTGTCTTTGAAATACTGTGGGACACAAAATCTTTCCTGTGCTGCAAACACACGGAAATTATATCTGCTGATTGGCAGAGCATTTGCTGTTTGCTGAACTCAACAGCATGTGTCATCTTGTCTAACGCCTTTGCTCCAAAAAAAGGTGACCCTTTCTGGCTTCTGTGGCACTGTCTGATGCTATTTTTCTCCAGTATTTAGAAGAGAGGAAGAGAGTGAAAACCATTTCTCTGAATATCAATGCATTCGACTCTTCTGTGACTCTTTCTTGAGAACTCTGTCAAGAGCAAATTTCAGAGGCGAAGCAGTATCTTGCAGATGACCGGTGTATATTTTTTCCCTTAAAAAGAGATCTGGTTCATATATATAATTGCAAGAACCAGTAGAGTTAGAAGAAATACACAATTATTTTGGTCTCTTGACAACTAAATATCTTTCTTTCACTTAGAGTCTTTGCCTTATGTCTCCTTCAGCCTCCACAGAGGGCCTGGGAAGGGGATGGGGACCCTTGTGAGTGTGTTTACAAGACAAGTGCTGAGAACCACACTACCTGCCCTTTTATCCAAGACCAGGTTGCAGCTGACTTTGCCCAGAGTCTCCTGGCAAGCTGAATGCTTCCACTTTGTTCCTTGTGAAAAAACACAGACTATTTTCAAAATCCCTAGTAGAAATGCTTCTGGCTGAAGCAGCTGAGTCCAACTGGCCTGAACATTCCAGTCTCAAAGGCTGTGATTACCCATTCCTTGGGAGAATTTTCCCTGCAGTATTCAATTTAAGAAAATAAGAACATGTGATAATCACCCCTTCACATTTTGGCTTGTTTCCCTCACTAAATCTAGGTTCTTCCACAGTCATCGGTCCCCAACCATGTGAGCTTCCTAGCTTCTGCTGCCATAGCAGATGACAAAAACTGTGTGGTTTACCACAACAGACATTTATTCTCTTGCAGTTCTGGGGCCGGAAGTCCAAAGTGAATGGCTCCATAGGGCTACTCTCCCTTCGAAGCCTCTAGGGAAGCATCCTTCCTTGACCCGGAGAGTTTCTGGTGGTCCCTGGTGTTCCTGGGCTTGTGGCAGCACGACTTCAGTCTCTGGTCATCTCCCCTGTGTCTCTGGGTCTTCTGTCCTGTCCCTTTTAAGAACATTAGATTTAGGGTCCATCCTCATCCAGGATGAATTCATCTCCAGAGCCTTGCCTTAAATCATCATATCTGCAAAGACCCTTACTACAAATGAGGTCACCTTCTCAAGTTCTGAGTACAGGTGTCTTTGAGGAGCCACCATTCAATTCACTATGCCAAACAGTTTCTCTACCAGATTCCCCAAGAAACTGATTTGAGGGCAAAATACAAGACAACTAGCTCAACAATGAAGGGAAAAATAATAGTAGCTAAGATCTTCCAAGTGCTAACTATGTGGCAGGCATGGTGCCCTGTGTTTCACTAACGTGTGCATTTAGTTCCTGCAGTGACTGCAGGAGCTACATATGCTACACCATCAGCCTTTTTTCCAGATGAGAGGCTCAGAAGCCCACTGAGGCTCAGCAGCTGGTACCAGGTGCTGCCCTTGCAGAAGAAAAATGACTTGAATCTGAGACGTTTGACTCCAAAGCCCACAAGTTTTGCTAATACATCGAAATGTGAAAGGCCTTCCTTAAACTGTATTTAATAGTTGGTGAAGGGACTGGCGTATACAGAAATGAACAGGACATAGTCTGACCTTTTAGAACCTCTTTAGATCCTTCCTGGGTCCTTATTTTAAACTGACATTGTCAACTTGAAAGTTAGAATTTTTATTAGCATCAGTGATTGTGTCAATTAAGGCAACAAAAAATGGAAATCAAATGTCATTATAGATGAATCGGGACACGCTTTGTCCATTGACTCATCACCCCAGCCCCAGAAATTCTGTCCTTTGCCCAGCTCTCTTTCAAGTAGCTGTCTTTTGTTCCCAGTTTGGAACCCTTAGGGTGAGTGTTTGCAGTAAAGATTTGCAGAATGTGCGGTGTAGAAGCGGTGGGGTACTTTGAGAGAGCATTCTTGGTTCTCGAGCCACTTTCCTTGCAAACCTGCGCCTGCCAGGCCAGGCCTACTGCTGATACAGCCAAGCACTGACTTCCCCATTGCCTTCCTCTTCTTTTCCTCTTTTGTCTTTTCAGTAGAGAAGCTTTCTCTGGGTTC